CCATCTATGTGTCCAAAAGGACACCCAGAAATACCTTTCAGAATTCTCCCTGAAGATGCCCTTAAAGAACTCAGAACTCCTTTGGCCCTCGGCGCGCCTGAGGTACGATACCATCTTCAGGGCCTTCGAGACCCGGCCGGCCAAGGCCCGGATGCTCGATTCGGGCGGCAGAATGAAAGCTCGGAGGGCTTTTTTTTTAGCGGCGAGGGCGAGGGTTTGAAAAAGAACTGAGCAAAAAATGACCAGGCAGCAACAGAAGTGACATTCGCAATGACAAGCCAGCAAACATCCTGAACAAAAAGGTAGACGCAAGCCCATTGGTCAGTCTGTTTTGTTCAATGGGCTTCACAAAAACTACTCTGGCAGCGGCTGCGGAGGTCTTACGCTTGCTGCGGCACCTGGAAATCGACAAGGACTTTGACAAGCCCTGGCCTCAGAGATCGCCTGGGCTTTTCTGTGATTTGCGTGTCCTACTGTGGACAAAATCCATAAACCGCACCAGCTAAGAAACACTGGACGGATGATTCCCCTGCAAATACAAACGAACAAATGGTTTCTGGTGGTTCCAAAGTGGTGCAAAATGGAGTTCGTCCACCCACAGTATGGCTGGGGCCCTTGGTCAGGTGCCTCGGAGTTGAGCGGCCAAACTGTGGGTCTCAGGTTTTTGGGACGAGATTTTGCGGGAGTGCTGGAGCAGCAGGCAGGGGCCAGAGCGGGAGAAGGGGGGAGAAGGGTTTTTGCTCTCTCTGTCGTGATTTTCGGTGGGCTTGAGGGCGGTGCAGTGTTGAAGTCCTTGATGGGGCGCATTTGATCGGCGTAGGGACTTCCAGGAACAGCCAATGTCAAAAGGCCCATGCTGCACATGAAGGAAGCCCAAGGCAACAGTTGCACGAAATTATCATGTTCAGTAGCTGGGTAATGCGCGGTTGCAGCTTGCATCCTTTCTAGGCTTTTCATGAAATTTGGGGCGTGGCAGGAGCTTGAGAAGCGAAAAGCAGAGGCGACTTGGGGGAAGTTCTAGCAGGGAGGGAAACGGGCTGGGGAGCTAGACACTTGTTTGTGTGTGTGTGTGCATGGTTGTGGTGTTTGTCGCATTTTTTTTATTTTTTTTGGGGGAGAGGAAGAGGGTAGGCCACGGGGCACATCAGAGTTGCGAAGATATTCCAGTGCTGGTTGTTCACAAGGCGCTGGAATTCTCCGGGTGTTTGTTTGCCTGTTTGGTGGCTACCCAAGTCCTCAAGGCGTTGACATTGGCTGCCATGGCTTGAAGCACAAGCAGAAAGCAAAGCTGTCTGTTGGTTTGAGATGTGTGCAGGGTGTCAAGCAACTGCAATGACTGGTGACGATGCAAGACCAATCAAGGCACCATGTTCAGATTGAATTCGCCAAAAGAGTGCATGCAATTTTCTCCTATGAGAAACCGCCAGGCAAGTAAGCCTGTATCAGCTCAAGGATGTTCAGTCGACCAGGTTTCCCAGGCCTGGGTTCCCTGAAAACACGCTAGCAGCTAGCACCATACCCTGCCCTGAAAATGATCATTATATGGTTGTCTTGGATTGTTAGGAGCCCGGGCCCCCCATTTCAGCTGACTGGCTCAAACCAATTTGTCAAACGATCAATGCATCCATTTGTTGTCTTGAGCTATGCTCAGATACGTGTTGAGTCGATCAACAGCTCTATTTTCTTGGTGTCCCACGGTTCCAAGGATTTTGCGGACTTACAGTTCACGAATCTTCCATCAGGCTCACTAGGGATTGGAATGTGTTTCGCCCCCCAACCCAACCAAAGGAAGCCCAAAACCAAATAACCAAATTGACCAAACCGACTTCAGCCCCCCCCCCCCCCACCCAAACCTCGGCATGCGCGGTGAGAAAGTGGGACACGCTAGACACTCATCTGACTCGCGGTGGGGCTGCCTTGCCTCGGATTCCGGAAGCAGGCCAGCTTCTCGAGCTCTTTAGCCCAACACCCCAGCTCCCAGCCCCCCCCAGCCCCAACCACTCCCCCCAACCTGCGTCCCCCCCCAACCCGCGCCCCCCCCCCCAGCCCCCCCCACCTCCCCCAAACAAACGCCACGCAAATTCGAGAGGCCAAGGCCCGCCTCAACGAGGCTGCGGAGGCCCAGCGTGTGGCCAGGGCCACCCAGCTCCAGGCGCCCCCGGCGCCGCCCCGCGGAACTCGCGCCGCGCAAGTTGGGAGTCAAAACCAATGGCACGATTTTGTGGTTGGTAGGTGAATTCACCACCCATTTTAGGCTTCCTATTTTAGTGGTTGGATTGGGATGTTCAACGATTTTGGGGTAGGTGAATTCACCACCCATTTTAGATAGCCGATTTTAGTGGTTGGATTGGTTAATGTTCATTGGGGGCTAACCGATTTGGATTTGGACCCATGGCAACGTGTCTTGGGCTTGTGTCTTTGTATTTGGTGGCCTTCTGCTCCAACAAGTTGGTTAGCTTTTGGGCGGAGTGCGTTTTGGTTTTTGTGGTTTTTGTTGGGTGCGGAGTGTGTTTTTGGTTGTTGGCTGCATTTGGTTCAGGCGATCCGTAGTTGTAGAGGGCAGACGGAGAACCACACCCAAACCACCAAACCACCAAATCACCAAACCACCAAACCACCAAACCACCAATCCAAGCCACCAATTGGAAGGAAGCTGAGTGGTTTCCTTTTGGGGCTTGTGGGTTTTAGTTTTTCTGGTTGCGGAGTAACTTGGATACACAGGAGCCCAAAAAGGTTGTCTATTTCACAAGAGGAGACTCAAGATATTGTTATTTTTATTTTTTAATTAAATGGCATTATGCAATGCATATTTCCTCTTTGGCGGTTTGAACGTTTTTGAGTTTCCCCTCGGGTGGGTCTAGAAAATCGACAGTGGGGGTGAATGTGCTTAGCGTCCCGGGCCTAAAGGCAGGCAGAAGCCACAGCCGCCCCGGTCAGCAGGCCTCATGAGCCGAATGGCAAGCTTCGCCCTCAAACCACGGAATCATGACGCAAGTTCGCATGGGCCTTTTGTTGGCGCGGCTAGTTTCTTTAAAGGCTCGACGATTTAGTTCTTTGTTTGACACACGTCAGGGAACAAGTGTTGTTTTCTTCTCACCCTCAAGATTACCTGCGTGGAGGTCCATCCTCAAGCCCAAGCTTGCCGCCCAGTAGAGAATGAGAAAACGACCCTTACAACCCATTCCCTGTGGCCAGGCTTGGCAAACCTTGCCAGATTTGTAGTTGGGCTCCTGCAGTCTTGGAACTTTGGCTTGGCAAGTGGTTTCCGTTACGGGACCAACGCCTGGGTCCATTCAACCACATCCCCTACGTATCGCAAGGAGCGCTCGTTCTGCTGGCCAGGAGCAGCTGGCCGCAAAGCAGGCCACCCAACTCCAGGTCTTCGAGCAGCAGCGCCTAGAGGAGCGACGCAGGCGGGGCCAAATTCGGGGATGGATGGAACTCGATATCCCCACCCCCTCAAAAAATGAATTGGGGAGGGGGGTGACCCCTGGAGATCTCCATTTGTGGTTCCATTTTCCCTTTTTTGGGGAAGACTAGATAAATGGAATTGGATACCCCGATGTGTCTCATGGGATGTTCACCTATCCAGGGTATGTGTGTTGTTTTGGTTTTGTCTTTGGTGTCTCATGGGTTCAACCATGTATCCACCGGAATGTGTATTGATTTGGTTTGGTCTTTGTGTCTTGGCAGTTTTGGGGAAACCTAGGTTGGAAGCCATCAACAGTGAAGGCTCCCAGAAGATGAAGCCGTTTCAACGCTGCCATTTCCAACCGTGCCACCCCACTCCGCGAAAATGACAAAGGGACAATTCCATCATGTGAGCTTCATAGCTTCATAGCTTCATTCCCCCAACCCTCTCCCCTACAATAGCGGGCTCAGGGGAGGCCCAGCGGGCTCATGTTGGAAATACCAATGGGGCCTCCTTCACCCCCCCCCGCCCCCCACCCATAGTTTTCCAGTCGTCTTCGTGGGCGGCCTCCAAAAGCCGCCGGAGTTGTTGGCACCATTCCATGCGACTCCTATACTGTACCAATTCTTTGTCTATCAGGGTCACTGGGCAACTGGATGTTCACCCCTCAAAGGCGCACTCCGTTTTCAATACAATATCCCCCCCCCTTCGCCGCGGCGGATACCTGACAATTCCGCCGTGGACTTGCTGACTTCAGCATTCGGGTCGTCTTCATTTCACTGAACCTCATGCTTCCCAGGCCCCGTCGTTGTATGTGTGTGTGGATATGTATGGGTGTGAACTTTGGTAGCCCGAGTGACTTGAACGAATCCTGTCAGCTTCAGAAGCTCCCAAGAACATCGGATGAGGCAACCAGGCTCCTCCAGCTTTCCTTCTATGAAATCGTCCGCATCCTGGTCGACCCTTTGCTCGACTACTACTTCTGCAATCAGCAAGCCGGCAGCTTCGCCGGTCTCATGTGCGAATATGAGTCGTTCAACACGGTTTTGTTGAGGGCTGCCAGGCGTGGTGCCGGAACAAGACGGCATTCGAGGCAGCCAACCCAACCAGGACTTGTGGCTTTGAACGATGGCATTCCCGATGCTACGCCGATGTTTCTCCCCGGATTTGAGAACAGCCAAAGGGCATACTTCGGAAAGCTACTGAGCCCAGGTACTTCAACGCTGGTCGTACTAAGCCTCTGACCGCCCAAGGCCTGAAGCGCCGAAGCCCATAAACGCCTTAAATGCCTAAGCCTTTAAGCGCCTAAGCCTCCAAGCGCGAAGCGCCTAAGGCTCTATTCCACGCGACTCAGCCTGTATTCCAACCGCCTTAAGCTCCTAAGCGCCTGAGCCTCTCAAGGTCTAAGCCTCTAAGCGCCTAAGCGTCTAGGGGCCTCAGCCAGAGAAGACTTGGAGGCTCACATACGTGGAAGGCTTAGGGGCTTCGAGGCGTGGAAGGCTTGGGGGCGTCGAAGGCTTTGAGGCTTAGAGGCTTGTGTGCCTAAGGGGGCTTAGAGGCCCAGAAGCGTGTGTCGAATTGCAGACCCCTTTTCCCAATGCAGTGAATATGTTGTCAACCATGTTTGCTAGTTCTTGGAGGGAATGGCCCCCAAACCATCCCACAGGGTTTCCTAGGAGATCCTCTTTTGATTCATGCCCAACATCGGTATTCAACCCCACCTATCGAGCCATCAAGTTTACCCCAACCTATGGCTTTGTCTCTAAAATCAGATCACGGGCCGGGACTCGGACACCCATTTTGTTGGTGCTCCCTTTCGGCTTCCCTGGAGCTACTCCACCCTGCCAGCGGCGCGACGCGTCCACACGGCCAATGCGGATTTGTTTTTTTTGGCGCAGGCTGGCGGACCAGAAGGCCGAGGCCGAAGCCTTCCTGGAGGCGGGACATCGGTTCGGTTCGGTTTTTCTGGTTGAAAGAGGGGCATCTCTGCAAAGGCCGGCACAGAGAAGCCCCGGGCAAAAGGATGTAATTAACGGCTTCCCCAGCCAACATGAACAGGGCTAAGAAGGGTCCATTTGCTTGGCCGCTAGTTGGTGGGATCAGACTTGAACTGTTTGGGGGTATCAAGGTTTTCCAAGCGCCAAGCGGCGTACAGCTAACATTGCGTCACAGAATTGGGGCAGCTGGATTGGAGGATCCGCGTCCTCCTGAATCCTGAAGCAGATGGTTTATGGAAGTATCCTGCAAGAATCTGTGTTAAGACGTGTTTGTTTTAAACTGGACGCCCCGAAATTTGGCTTCCAACCTGGGTCATCGGAGGACCTTCAAAAGAAGACTCAGCCTTGGCTTGGGTTTCCTGTTCAGATTTGGTTTTTGGGTAAGCTTTGGACCAGGGCTTGTAATGATCTCCACGTAGGCTTTGGCCACCATGGAATGTTCAGCGCAGCCCCCGCCGCGCATGAAGCCCCAAGATTCCCATGGATTTCCTGCACGAAAAAAAACACCTTTCGGCCATCTCGATGGCTTGGGGGACCTGTTCAAGAATGCCGTTTCAAGCGCATGAGCAATCGCAGCCGTTTTGTCTAAAAGCCAGCTTCGCATGGTTCCCCAAGAATCATAAGCACCCTGTTTGCAGAAGTTGCTCAGCCTTGCCACTCTTGCTCGAGGCTGTCTGCTGATTTGGACCGAAGAAAACGGGGCATGCCCGCTTTCTCAGGGAGGAGGGTTGGGAATTTTGCAATCTTCCTTCAAGTGTTGCTAAAGGTAGAATTATCGCATTCATGATAGTGGGCTTACAGGCTGCGGTCTATTTCTCTGAAAGTGCTCGGACGGGGCCCTGCAGTGCACCCGTGACGGAAAGTTTGTGCGCTTGCACTTTGGTCAAGTCGGAAATCCCCCCTTGATGAACAGCCAGTACCAGCCACTTGCACCAAAGAAGAATTAATCTGCTTATTTCATAACGAGCTCATCGATTCGGTACAGGTCCTTCACATGGTGATCCCTTAATTTATCTTTTGGAGCTATAGCCAAAATTGCGGATCCATGTCTTGGCCGCTGGTTGGATCAGACTTGAACTCTTTTGGGGAAGGTTGGATTTGACTTGAGCTTTTTTGGGGAAACGAAGGTTTCCCAAACGCCCAAATCATGCCGTGGCCCCGGTGTCTGCGTCGCTCCGGAAAATCCTTAGCCTTGCGAGCGCCAGGCCACCAAGGCGGCCAAGGCCCAGGCAGACGCTGAGGCCTTGAAGGCAGCACAGGCCAAGGCCAAGCCAGCCCGGCGCCCGGCGCCGGAGACGCATTTCGCGCGTCGGGTCAAAGCACCGTTGCGACTGTGGACGGACGAAATCCATAAACCGCACCACTTGGCGGCCATGGGACACCATTCTTTGTTGGTATTCACAGGGGAATCATCCTTCCAGGGTCTCTGAGGTGGCGCAGGATTTCGTCCATCCACAGTATGACTAGAACGGAATATGAGCTAAACGGAATATGAACTAAAGGAAGGGGATATCAAAAACGGGATTTTCACCTGCTGAAACCCCTTCTAAAAAGCAAGGGGTAGTTGAAATGATTGTCATTCAGAATTCGACAAGGCTGGCACATGCGTCGCATGGGGCCTGGGTACCATGTCCAAGGTACCAGCCCCTACGGGGCCGACAGCGCCGGCAGCGCCGGTGCCTGCTGAGCCGCCCGGGCTCAAGCCTGCGCGGGCGCCCAGGCGGCCGGGCACAGCCCGCGCATCCATTTTCTGCGCTCTTGAAATCAACAGCTTTGGAGGGGGCGTACTTTTTTGCTATTGGGCTTGAAGAGAAAGGCGGTTTGATTTTTTGGTTTGCTATTTGTTGTTTTTTGTTGTTGCTATTGGGCTTAAAGAGAAAGGCGGTTGGTGCTCCGATGTGCTGCGAGCCTCGCAAGGCTCTCACAGAGAAGATGCGGTGTGGCTTTTGGGCCGGAAATTGGGGCACAGTAAAATCTATTCCAAGCTCATCGTGGTTAGAATCCGCATGCAACCCAGGCAGGACGGTGGCAGTTGGGGTGGGTTTAAGGGTCGGTCGGTTTGAGGTAGTTGTTGCGTTCGACAACAGGGTTCCGATGGGGTAGGTTTTGTTCGCAGCTGGCGGCTACCTCATGACTGTGGGTTTCAGGACAAGACAGGGCCACACAATCTCAGAATTCACGACAGAGGCAGTCACCATTTGAGAGTTTGTTTTGAAATTGGGAGAAGGCGGGGTCCTTGGAATTTGTTGCTTGATGTTGGTTTCGTTGCCACTGGGGTTGTACTGAAACCCCCAGCCGAGGTCATTCCTCCCAGGATCCTGCCGGTAGGCAGCCTGAGCCGCGCCTGCCTTCAGGAGGCTACCGCGCGCTGGGGAGTTGATTCCTGGCCATGGTGGTTCCACTATCTGATCCCCGCCTCGTTAGATATGGAATTGGGGGAGGGGGGTGAACCTGGAGACATTTATGGGACACCATTTCCCTTTTATGGGGAAGACTAGCTAAATGGAATTGGATTCGGACCCCCCACCCCCCTCCCCTACCTGGTTGTATTCGGGTAGCAAGGACAATGTCAAAATCCATGCTGGCAGAAGCAAAGGTCCACGGCTTGTGCCGACTTCTCAACTGACTTAAGGCCGCAGGCAATGGCTCCCATGTATCCAAGAAACCAACTATAGGCAGTCTGATTTTGGTGGGAATTTGGCTAGTTTCCTGTAGAACTTCCTGTAGGTGGTTTCTATGAATTTAGGGAAAACTAAAAGGAGGTTGTTGAAACACGCGTGGTTTTAGCGCTGAGACAGTCGGACATGTCTTGGGCTTCCAACTGGCAGCGCCAGCAGGTTGAGTTGATGTGCCAACATGCCTCACAATCAAACGAAGAAGTCTGAGGAGCCAGCCAAGTTGACAGATCCTGTTGGGCAAAAGCCGCAAAATGGGGGGGTCGAGCCCCTGTTTCATGGTGGGAAAACAGGGCAACAGGCCGCAAAAGAAGTCGGATCCAGCCCCAAGTTTGCGACATGTGCTCTATCTAGCTCCAGGCGACAGGCCCGACGCCCACAGCAGCTGTGCCGGCAGTGGAGAAGCGAAGCGGCATCTACCCCTTGCCGAACATGGTGAAGCCTCGCTGGCGGTGTTGCACGCCTGAAATCCGATTCGAGTTGTTTGGTTGCACGTGTTCTGTGTTTTTTCTTTGCTTTGCTGTTGGTTTTTCACGGGGGATGTGTGTGTGTGGGTTTTCTTTTAGAGTGGTCAGGTAGTTGGTCGGGGCAAGAGTGTTGAGTCTGTTGTCGGCCTTAGCGGCCGGCCTGGGCGCTGGATGGTTGAGTGGATGTCAGGTTGTGCCGGCAGGTTGGAGCTGACATTGCTTGGAGTTGTTGTACAGAAGGTTTTGGGATGTCTTTTCCATCAAGCATTTGCCTCGGCCTCTTAGGGGGGAATTCAAGTTCAAGGTATTCCTCCAGTATGGTCCACCGGATTCATCCGAATACCTGAAGCTCTTAAGGTGAGGGTTGGTTTTGGATTGGCTTGGGGTTGCCGGCTTTGATCATTTGGGGTTCAGGGTGGTCAGAGTGGTAGTGCTGACTGATTACAGGAAGTGGCGAATTAAATTGGCCTTTGGCTTAGGGTCACTTAGAGGCAAAAAGGGCCCCCCTTAGCATTGTAGAGGGACTGAAAGTTTCGAGGGAACTGCAGCCGAATCACTTTCAGGCGCCCTCAGTTACATTATGTTGGGGATTCGCTGGACTGCAGCCTGTGTCATGCAAGGATAAGGCAGCAGGCCCTGCATGGAGTAAACAGCATCTGGAAGGAATTACCAGCCCCTGAAAATTAGCACTTGCAAATCAGGACAACCTGACTCACTTGTGACGCTGCGATGCCTGCGAAAAAGGGGCCTATAGAACGCTTGGTTTTGAGTGGCGAGCCGCGACGACGCAAGTCATACCCACAGATGTAACGTAAGCAACTAACACAGCGCTGGAAACAAAGCAAAAACAGACCTTGCAGTTGTCTTCTCAACCTCCTGCTTTGCACCTTTTTTTAGCAGGAGGAAAAGCACGCAGTCTTCACCAATTTCGCAATTGTCCCTCTTTAGGCAGGTCCCTATAGCTACGCTGACGTCACTGGACGCAAAATTGCTTGCCAACACGCCCTGGCGTGCAGCCAGCTCATGCGCGGGCTGGGCCAACCCCACGTCATCCAACTCAATTCTCGAGATGAGCAGCAAAGAATGCGTACAGGGAGGCCGCGCCAGAGGCCACAAGCCCACAGGATTGGGCTGTTCAGCCAACCGGCGCGCAAGACACCAACTGCAAACCTCCCACTAGCCGCGCCAGGGTGGGCTCTGTGCCACCTGCGGGCGACCAGGCGACGTGGAGTGGAGCGAGCACTTGCATTGGAGATCAAAGAGCATGTATGAGGCTGCGTTTGTTCATAAATTGCATTAAAAAGGGTACCCTTATTCTGATTCACAATTAGTACTCCTCTGGTTGATGAGAAACATCGACGCGACCCATTCTGAATCGAAGGGATTTGGAAAGCTTTTGGAGAAGCTTCCCAGATTATCCAGTTTATCAGACCGATTAAATCGATCGAATCGGCGCCGATAGTATCAAGAAAAAAATGGTTAACTTTGGAGCAGTCAGTCAAAGGACTTTTCTCGGACAGGTCCAGCACGTCGTCCTACTGTGGATGGACGAAATCCTGCACCACCAATCAGAAACCCTGGAATCTCGCCTGGAAATTCCAAGAAACCTTATGGTTTCCGGTGAATCGGATTTTGTCCATCCACAGTAGTGCTGCCCAACCCAAACCAACAAAGACAATATTTTTTTTTAAAAAAAAAAATGACATACTGTGGATGGACGAAATCCTGCACCCTGGAATGATGATTCCCCTGTAAATACCAAAAAAGAATGGTTTCCCATGGTTTCCAAGTGGTGCGGTTTTTGGATTTCGTCCATCCACAGTAGTACAGCTCAAAACCCAGACAACATGCGCCGTGCTTTTCATGCGCCGTGCTGCTTCGGGCTCCGGGGGCAGCTGGAAGCCGGCCCGTCGCGCCTTCCAGGCAGGGAATAAGAGCGCTGAGGAGGAGCCGAAGATCGAGGCTGAGGCGGGGGGTGCGGTTCAGCTGTGGTCACGTCCTTGCTGAAATGAATATGTTATATATATATATATATTCCCCTGGTTTTTAAAGGGAAGCGATTTCACTACTGGACATCCTGTGGATGGACCAAATCCGTTCACACCACTTGGAAACCATGGGAAACCATTCTTTGTTGGTATGTGAAGGGCAATCATCCGAAACTAGGGTCTCTTAGGTGGTGCAAAATGGATTTCGCAACTATCCACAGTATGTCCACCTCCCACCAAAAATAAACATTAAGTGCAGGAAACCTACTCTCCTGGTGTTAAAGCACATCGATTTCAGTACTGGACGTATGTCTTCCATTTTTTCCTGGGGGCAGAAAACGCCAATGGGAGAAATCCGTCGTTGTCCCCCGGCTTTGGCCTAGGGCGAAAGAGCTGCTAAGAGGCAGAGGCTCGCAGAGGCGGCGACCGGGAGGTTTCGGGAGGTGAGGTTCTGAGCCCAGTGGGTTCCACGGTTAGAACCAGATGTGCCCCTTGGTTCTTTTTGCTCCCGCTTCTTGAGAGTTAAACTGGGTGGTTTCCCTTAGGGGTGACTTTGGCAACACAGTGAGGCCTCCCATCCGAAGTGGGCGCCTCTTTTGGCGGAGGTGTTCCACCTTCCGGGGCGCAGTGAAACGGAAGCCAGGGGGGAAAAAACGCCATGAGGCGAAAGGGCCCATCGATTTTTGTTTGGTCCCGTGAGATCAGCGCCTTGTCCGGCGTTGGACCATGCGCTTGTCAGATGATCGAGGGTGCCCTAGGACGAGGCAGAAGGCCGTGCGGCCGGGGACGGTGGCGTGCAGAAAATGGAGGACCCCGGCGACGGTCGAGAGGTTTTGTTGGGAGTAGTAGGGATGGTCCTCAAACCCAACTGGGTTCTTAGGGCAACCAGCGTGCGGATTCCGGGATGAGCCAGCCATGGCCCACATACCACATACCCTCCTGTCCATTGACATGGAATCCACCAAAGGGTCCCTTTAAAAGGAAAATCGTGTTCCAGGACCCCTTAGTCAGGTGGGCAAGGTGCCCTGAGCTTCTGCAGACGAGACATTCGATGAGAAAGAGAGAGAGAGAGAGCCCCCTTAGTCTTAGTCAGGTTCCATGTTGAAGGAGGGGGAGGGAGTTCTAAACAAGCCCCTATTAAGCCCTTAAGGCCTTACTTAGGGCTCCCTCCTCCCCTCCCTCCCCCCCCAGCCATGAGAGTTTCGACAGCAGGAGAATGCCAATGGCTCGAGCTCCTCGAGCCTCAGCACGCTTCAACAGGACCAACACGGACGACTTGGGGAGGGAGCAGCACGTGGTTTGCTGCATTTTGCAGAGGGCTGTTAGGACTTTAACTTTTTGATCCAACGAATTTGGGTTTTCCACTAAACCACTAAAAGTGAAACTTTTAGCAGGGGAGCAGAAAGCAACCGAGCATGGTTTGTTCTCGAGAAACCTTTTTTAACCATGATCTTATTGTGGTTTAGTGGTTGGGTCCAACCACTGAACTGCTAAAATTTGAAATTGTTTGCTCCCCTTGCAACGTCAACCAAGAACAGTTGGGTTCTTGGTGTTTCCTGTTGGTGTTTTTCTGTAAACTTTAGACCAACCTGAAGGAAATCGAGCAAAACGCCAAAGAGTTGTAATGAATTCTAAGGCTTTTCAAATGACTCGGGACTTTCCGCTTTCCGGCTGAGGCTCCATGAACGATTCTTCGTATGCCGTGCAATGAAACGCATTGATTCAACCGCCAAGAGGCCACTGTGGAGGATCTGACTCCGTGTTGCTGACATCAAGCCCTGTACAGTGCTCTTAAAACTTGACTGCAGGAGCTTGACAAGCTGCGCCGGGAGAACGAAGCTTTGAGGAGCTGGAACTTCCGTGTGGCAAACGCAAGCCGCATGCTCTCGGTTTGCAGGACCAGAGCCGGGCACACCGCCACCATGTTTCCTGTCCTCGGCCATGGGGGCGAAAAAGAGGAGGACCGATGGTTTCTGCCCTCCACACACCCCTTGCCCCTTTTTTCAGAATACGGCTGTAAAATTGCATAATCGGGCCTTCTATTTTGTTAATGTTGAAACGCATGTGGAAACATGAACTGTGTGTGGAATGCTTGACCACAATGGCATGTGCCATTTTGGCTCAAGCATTGATCCGGGTTCCTGGAACCCAAGCTGTTTGAAAAAGTATTCGAACTAACCCCGACCAAGCAATGGCTTCCTCGGCAACCTCGGCAACTTCCTTTGAGCTGATTGAGGACCAGACACTCACCGTGGAGGAGGTTGAAATGGCCAGCCAGGAGGCCCAGGACATTCGCACACGGGAGGCGGCAGTGGCGGCCGGCTTGGTGTTGGACGAGCCCGAGGCCCCCCCGTCATCTTCGGCGACCGATGTGATGAAGGACCTCTCCAGTGCACTGGAGCGTCTCCATGTGGCATTTGCCACACCGACTTCCGGCTTGGGTGCCCCTGGCCCCGCCGAGCAGGGCGACGAGGGCATGGGGGATGCGGACGGCATGGAGCGGACCACGCCACCGGAGAAGGCGCAGTCGCCACCCACGAAGAGACTGAAGGGCTTCGTGGCGGCCTCTCAGAAGGCTACGTCCCAGACCAACAAACCCGTCTCCTTGGTGCCGGTGGACGGCAAACCCGGGTACTTCAAGCTGGTGGACCTCCCGGATCTGTTTCCAGTCCTTCCAGCGTCGGCGGCCACCTTGCTGAGGGACATTACGGTGGAGGAGGCGGTCTCCCTGTTCCACAAGTTTGTCGGGAAGAACCTCACCGAGGACCTGGTGATTCGCATCCTGGAGGCGTATGTCCCGATGAAGATCCAGCTCCGCCAGGAGGAAGTCTGGGCTTCGCAGTTCCAGAGGAACAAGGCGTGTATCGGCACCCAGCGCATGCACAGGCTCGATGCAGGCCATTCCGACTACAAGTTCATGTGCAAGGCATGCGGCACGGGGTGGCCAGAGGCAGCCAAGCAGTGCTGTCTCTGCCCCGGCAAGGAGTTTGCCCCCTTTCAGGCACCCTCGGCCACCTATGAGGCGGACGGCATCACCTACAACCTGCTCATCGTGGAGGGCAAGCCGACCTGGATCCAGCAGCGGGAATGGGGAAGCCTGGGTGCCGCTGGCCCCGGTGGTACCCGGGCACAGGCCGACCGCAACTTGGTGGACGGCGCGGTCTTGGGGAGAGCCCCTCCAAAAACGGACACGGCAGATGAGATCACCATGGCAGATGCGGTCCCGCTTAACAGGCGGGTGGACATCCGGCAGGAGATCCTGTCCATGGAGGCGGACGACGAGGCGTTGAAGGTCCGGGAAAGCCAGGAGATCAAGGTCAAGGTGCAGCGGTCCCTGAAGGAGGCGGAGGCTCAGAGCTTCCAGCTCTACCACCCCCAGGTGGACCGGGCGATCAGGAAGAAGGAGGAGCTGCATAAGGCCTTGCGGGAGCATCGCGGAGGAGGCCTCGGCCAAGCGGCGGCACAAGGAGTTGGTCACGGAGGAGATGCTGGACAATGAGATGGCTATCCTGGCGCCTCTCCAGGAGGGCATGCAGGCCCTGCCGTCAGAGGAGGTGGCCAATGACCGCGCCCTCAGGAAGGTCAACCTGGAGCGTTTCAAGGCCAAGCTGAGAGACCAGTACTTGGAGGGGAAGGGCGTGGACGCCAGCCAGGCGTTGGCTGAGGCGATGGGCTCCATTCAGGAGGCTCAGGCGGCAAACAAGCGAACCCAGGACACCAACCAGGCATGGATGCTCAACCACACTCTCCAGCCCTTGGCAGTGTCGGCGTGGCCGGATGATCTCAGGCAGGCCCTGGAGAGGGGCCTATTCTGCCCCCTGGAGCTGGATGACCCCGAGGACATCCCCAGGTGGGGGACATCAAGGAGAAGTATGTCCCCTACATCAGGATGCTCAGAGCGTCGCAGAACCCGTGGCACCAGGAGGCACTGCTGGAGGAGATGCCCGATCTGGTGGCACCGACGGGTTTGGGGGGGACCAGCCAATGTCACAGCAAGACCTGGACTCCGAGGATGGCAAGCTGTCCCTTATCCTCTGGGCAATGGAGCGGCACCAGGGAGAGCTCCGGATGTTTGGGGGGATTTGGAAGAAGCATGCAAGCGGTGAGATCCCCCGGGGCGCGGACCAGCAGTTTAAGCTCGCGCCGGAGGAGCTCCTGGCCCTTGAGCGCAGGACTCACCCACTCACGTGCGAGCAGGACCACATCGACCCAGTCATCTACACGGCCTTGGAGATCCGAGCCCAGGTGAACCGGGGCGAGCGCCCGGCGCCTGAGCAGGTGGTGGGCATTTTCTGGGCGAAAGGTGATGAGCCTTACGGGCGTGTACGCCCACAGGTTCACATTCAAGTACATCTACTCGGCCTGGACCACTTTCCCGTTGATTGTGAAGACGCAACGCCGGGGCCGTAATGCGGAGGGCTCGACCTCGGACAAGTGGATGGGCAACATCCTCCAGATGAGGAAGGAGGCGGTGCCCTTCCTGGAGAGCCTGGGCATCCCCAAGCCGCGCAACAAGGAGGAGTGGAGCTACATTTTCAAGGAGATGGGGACATTTCTGGCGGCAAAGAATTTCATCGTCAACGTTGCCCGTGATGGAAATGCCGGTGGCCCCCATCCATGACAGTAAGGAGGCGCTGCGTTTCAGGGCAGTTTGCGACGAACGAATCACCCTCCCGCTGGCCGCGCTGAAGGCCTTCGACTCGGTCTACACCAAGTTGGTGGCGGGCCTGAGCAAGTCTTCGATGGTGGAGGTGAAGGTGAACTGGCGCTGCAACGTGGTCCACGACTGGGTCGAGCAGGTCCCACAGGAGACGGCGGGGGCCCTGTACGACAGGTTGGGCTACTCCCAGGACCTCATCCGGCAGCTGGGTTGCTCCCCCCCCTTGGGTGCGGGGGGGGAGCGGCCAAGGAGGCGGACCCCAAGGCCAAGGTCATGGGGCGGTACCCGCCCATCACCACGGCCACGGTCACGGCGGTTGCGGGCCGGAAGTACATCAACAAGCACTTCCCCAAGGAGACGCAGCACATGTGTTTTGGGCTTCCGTGGAGTGTGGCTTGGTCCTGCCCAGCATCAGTGCCTGGGAAGTGGTGAACAAGGAGAAGTTCAAGACCACGGGGGGCTACATGTGCAGATTTTGCAAGGGCTTCTGGAAGGCGAGCCGCGGGGGGACCAGACTGCTCCAGATCACGGGGTGGCACAAAGATAAGGCCACCTGCTTGCAGCTGGTGATGGACGAGCCCCCGGAGCAGCTGTACAATCAGTGGATCCGGGATCGGATGGAGAGGGTGGAGCCAACGGAGCCTCCCAGGGATGAGCGGCTGGTCCTGGGTGAAGCGGGCACCCCCCGCATGCGCTTCAGCTCCTCGAACGGCCTGGAAGATGTCTCCACTGCCCTGTGGTCGGTCATCTTGAGCAACCCGGAGAAGTCGGGGCTGGCGGCAATCCACTCGGTGGCGAAGGAGGCGATCCTGAAGGGAGGGAGCCGCTAGGTTTTGTCTCACAACCCTGTCGGATGTGGGAATCATGTGCTTTCTTCCCGCCGGGACTTGGGTGCCTTTGGCCCCGTCTCCGGGGGGAGGGGTATAGGGTTTTCCTTGATGGGTTCGTTTTTCACCACGGTTTTCCTCTCTTATTCGACACGTCACGGCAGCTTGATCTCCACGACCATTGGGTCACATGCTTTGGCTGCCCCAAGGACGGGCCATCTCAGCCACGGTTCGGAAAAGGTGGCCGCGGCTGACTCTTGGTTTCCTTGAGGTCCCCTTGGGGTTTTGGGGAAGTCCCCCGCCGGGTCGGTTTCCCCCCCTTGTGCTTTTGGGGGGTTTCTGGGGGTTGATTTTGGGTCGCTCTCCCCCCCCCTTCCGGTTGAACTCTCGGGACTTTGGGGGGGGGACGGGATGCGTGTGGCCTGCCTGCTCCATTTGCACTCTGCAGTCTGCGAGTTTGGAGCATGCATGCATTGTGCCGCGGTTGGGTCCCGGCTGTTCGATAGGAGGCTCGAACCCCCCCCCCTTTTTCATCATGGCTAGGGTATCTACCAAGTTTCTTATGCGCCCGCCTTACACACGTCTTTGGGACCGCATTCCAAGGGTCCTATGGGACACGTTGGCGGATGAGTCCTTCTCCCCGAGACAGACGGACGGGGAGCTGTTGGTCCTGATGTGCCTGCGCCAAGGCACGGAGGAGGAGGGGAGGAAGCTGGGCGGTGAGCCGGCAATCCGCTTCGCATGGAACTTTCGGGCATTCCGGTAGGACAAGTCGACCAAGTGGTCCCGACGGACTACTTCAACGGCCTGGTGGCATCGGCGGCAGGCAGGCTTCCCCAGCCTCTGTCCGCGGCGGACCTGGCAGACCTGTGGGACAGCCTATGGTTCCTCCTCCTGGCGACGGCGGATGGCAAGCCGAGCGAAGACTTTTCCCCGCTGGAGAATGAATGGGACCGCCAGGACCAATAGAGGTGGTTCTCGCGAGATGACCCACCCCCACTCCAACAACCGGAGCTTCTGAAGTGGAGGCACTGGCGCCCGGGCAAGATAAGGGAAATGGAGCCCACGACCCAGCGAGCAATGGAACTCCATATGCGCGGGAAATGGGCAGAACGGCTCCTCGCCCACTTCGCCCCGTTTGCGGAGCACATCCTGGGGGAGGACTTCCGCAAGGAGGCCTTGGACCTCCTGGGGGACAACAGGTTCCGGACACTCAGACAACATTGCCTGGTCTACGAGAGTCTCCGGAAGAGAGGCTTCACGGTTATTCCATGGCAGGAACGACATGTCCGCTCTCACCTCAACCAGCTCTCCGAAGAGGAGGTCACCCCATGCAAGCTACGGCAGGTGTGGAACACCCTCAAATGGTCCAAGACCTTCGGTATGCTGAAGATAGACGAGCTCCATCGCCTCAAGTCCAAGAAGAGCTCGTTGGAAGAGGCGCTCACGGACACGGTCACCCGGCCGCAGCGCA